AGCAAAAAATATTGAGATGTTGAGGTACCCGCGCTGTCGGTATTGCGGAGATGCGAGAAGACAAAAAATTAATTTGATCCACGTATACAACTTCAGATTTCAGACATCATTTTGCCGAGTTTTGTGAGAAAAGAAAGGTTCTGCAAACGATATGGCACTGTTACTTCGTCTTGCACTTTTGGGCCACTTTTAGAAAATCCGCTTCGAAAGCAACACCAGTAATTATCACACTGAAAAGTTCTACAATTTTTTTAAGCAATTTTTTGATTTTGTGACCTAAACATTAATTATTTGAAATCAGAGGTATTAAGGTTAATTTAAACTTCAAAATTGTTACTAAAATTTTGCAATGTTGAAGACACATTGGAATTAGTGTTACAATTACGTAACAAAATTGTTCTGTTCGCAACTTGGTTGCCACGTAAATGACTGTAGTCGTAAAAAAAGCGATGATTCCAAATTTAAAGTTCAAGATTTCAGCTTTAAGCCAACTTTTACGAATTCTAGCTCACTACGAACAGGTTCGTCGCGTAACCGAGCGTTGGAGTCTCCGCTGGAAAAACCATCAAAAGTCGGCCAAAACAAAATACTTATGAATAAATCAAATTAACCAAAAACAGAATAGGACAACTTGAACATTTTTGCAGAAGTTAAAAAACAAAAAAAAAAAAACGAGTTCGACTCGTAGTCGAGCATCGGAATCTCTCCGGCAAACACGTCACAGCGCCGCGTCAGTCGAACCGAAACCAATCACCGTTCGAAAATAAACCAGGAACAGAGCCACGGAGAACAGAAGCGACGATGACCAACTCCGGCAAAGTCCGGGTAAGCTCCGGATCTCGTGCGCGCCGCGCCTTCTTCCGGATTCAAGTGTCAACTGTTTTCATTGCACACCAGCGTGAGAAACAGATGACTAACGCGGCCAAGTCAAGGCCGACTGTGATTTATGACCGGCTGGACTACCTGGCTAATGCACTTAAGTAGGACTCGGAGCGGCGGTGTTAACCGATGTGATAAATTAATATGAAGTCGATTCGTCGACTTGGATGCTTTATGGCTTATTAAATCGATACATGTTCGCTAAATTGACTTAATGTGTCGCACGTCGAGTGTGCGCTGTATTTTTCGACTGCTTTTTGTTCACCTGTCATGCGTTAATGCGACAGGGCTCGCTGAGAAATGCGCCGTCACATTAGCGCTGATAATTTGACGGGTCGCGGATTTTTCATTTTCTTTTTGGTTTCGGGGGATTTTTCTGCGGGGCGTTTTGATTGATGACCGGTCGCGGAAATCGCCGGCGAACTTGTAATTTGGGTCAGGATGAATTATCGTCAAGTGCGAGTAATTGAAAATTGCGGCGCTGCCGTCTGTTATTTAACCAACACTAGGCGATGCACTAACGGAATTGGCGATTTATTGCTTTATTTGAGCACACGCATCTGCCGTAGACGCGTAGGAGTCTCTGTACGTCAGAAATGAAATATGTGTGTGTTTGGAGCCACCGGTGCGAAAGAGGCTCTGTTACACATTGTGGCGAACAAGTAGAGCATGATAACTCTCAGCGGCGCTGGGAAAATGAGACGCCCGACGAAATCGAGATTCTGTGCGCGATAGGGAGAGCCGGAAGAGGCAATTCATGTTAAGAAAATGTCAAAAAGGTCGACGATCAAACGAGTGAAAATTTATGTACGCGAGAACGCCCACCACATTGTAGAAAATACGATTTCTCGACATTACCATTTTTCAAACGCCGGCTACCGTGTCCCACAAGACGCGACATTTGGACCTTGGTTGTATACCCTACATAGTGATTCTCGATTGTCCCGAGTCGAATTTTTTTGTAAATACGTTAGGGCCTTTGTTATCACTTATCTGATGGTTGCTTTCGTGGTGGGGCGACTTTTACCGGTTCTGGCCCAGAATCGGCTTCTAGTTTTTATCAGCGAGACTGGCATTTGCCAAAATTCGACCAAGCGATGACATTTGAAGATTTTAGCTGGATTTTTTGCTTCCCAGTTGCGCCAGACGTGTGTAATTAGGTCTACAAATTGTGAATAATGCAAAACACGTCTCGGTTGGATAATAAACGGCAGCATAATGCGATATTTCGTTAAGAAATATCTGAATAAACACGAAATTATGTAAAAGAATTTTTTAACTGACTCATTAAGATCCCGATTATAATTTAGAGTTTGACGAAATCTCGTGTCTAATTAGGGGGGCCATAAAATTCTTTATTTACAGCAGCGGACAAGGAGGTAGCGACGAATAAAACTGCTGGAGGTGATGTAACGTTGATAAAAAGCGACTGACCTATATTTTTTATCGGAAGCCCGGCCAGTTGTAGAAATTTATGTCAGTGTAATGGAGTAGACTGTAGCTGGTTTGGGTAATATACAACATGGCATTTAGGATACTGTAAAAATTTAAAAAAACTTTAAAGTCATTAAAAAAAATGCCAAAAATTTGGGTTAATATTTTAACAGCCTATTTAAAATTAAATTAAAGCCCAAAATCCTATTAGGTTCAACGTTTGCAAAAAATCTCTTCAAAAAAAAAGCGTTTGACTTGTTCCTTCGAGCTGAAAAATTGCCGCCAGCGTCAAAAATAATTGCTTTTGACTGAATTTTGGCCCACTGCTGTGTTGCCTCTGCGAATTTGGCCGCCTTTCCCACGGAGAGTCCAACGGTCGGCTGCGCGACGAACCCAGGTGGTGAATTCCCCGAAGCGCCTCAAAAACGTCCATCAACTAAACTGTCTATAACTTCGACTTCTTCATCGCCTGCCATTTTTTCCATAACGATCCAATTTAAGTGGAAAATATCCGCCAATTTCAGGCATCACGTTCGTCACAATTCCTGTGAATTTGTCAACTGCGAACCGTTTATTTCTAGAATTGTTTTTAACATCGAGAGTGTGTTTTGCACCTCCGATTCGCTACAGATTCCTTCTATAGGTGCATTCGGATCTAAGCCTCGCGAGCTGCAAGCCTCCATCTGACCCAGATCTGGTAAAAAACCGGTAGAAAATAGCCGCCGATAATAATTAAAGTTGGCGTTTTACCGCAAATTTGGATTTAATGGACGGATTTAGAAGCGCGTAATTATTGCTTTTTTGTCCACTTCTTCAAGCTTTTCACTCAATTAATGGCGGCAGGCTTTTCTTGATACACATACACACGCCACCGGTACCAACTAAACCAAATCAAAAGAGATCATCATAACTTTCTCCTATCGCCTACGGTATTCGTGGTGTGTTATTATTCCACGCCATTTGATTTTATTTCGTTTTATTTTCTACAGCACCGACTCTACCTACCAAGCGCTGGACATCTCATTAATTCTCTGTAAAAAATCGTAATAAAACGGAGGATGGGAGGATCATTTTATTTCTTTCGTTTACGGAAGTCTTGACCCTATTCGCTATTAAGCGATTTTCCCCTCAAGAAATTCATTTACAAGTGCGCACATTTAAGATAATAGTCAATAATTGCGGAGAATGCATGAGTTGGTTTTTCAACAGGCGATTTAGATGCCTTCGCTGTTCATTAAATAAATTAATAAGTAATAATAATTAAATTAAATTTATTAGTTTTAATGATAGTAATAACGTTGATGGCGAAGATACTTAACGAAATGAAAACTGAGTTGAAGAGGTTACAGAAGACACTGTTTCGACGAGCGACGAGAAATTTGCAAGTTTATCGCCTGATCAAGTTTTCGTTCGTTTTTTGATGGAGAGATATAAATTTCACGGACGATGTTCATGCTTCGTTTTCAGTGTGCGAATTTCCTGCAGGGATCGTGAAAAAATTCAACCTTTTTGTTCTGGGAACAATAGCGTTACTTTTTCTAACATGAGTTTACTTGTCAAGATTTTCTCAAATAATTTTATAAGCTTGAAAAATGAATGCGTTCGGGATCCACACGGATGCGCATCTAGATTAAGATCTCTTCGATGCAATATTAAATTCACTGCGGAGTTTGATGGATAAAGATAAACATGTGAAGTTTACACACATATTATCTACACGTTTTTGAGTAGTCTGGCGCAATAATGCAACATAACGTGCTTTTTATATTCCCCTAGATAAAATGTTGTCATGTCGTTGTAGGTTTCTGCCACTGTATATAATCTTCATATCTTTTTTGCCACTGTTCTCAAAATATGTTAAAATAATCAACGTTGGTTGGAATTTATTCAGTCGTCTCTTTCTAAAAATAGATGACGTCAGATGAAGCAGAAAAAATACACAGAAAATAATCATCGGTGAATAAACGAACAGACAAAGATTAAGTAAAGTTGTTATTTTGCAAGTGTTGAATACGTATATTTTCCGCCAACAGAAAATAATTACTTTATGAATACGAGTAAGTGAGTAGCGTCAAATTATACATTTCTTGAATCAACCTTCTCCAAGTCAATTAAGCTGAAAAATATCCTTTTACGAAACTCAATAACGCTAATAGTTCATGAAAGCAGAAACCCGAACCCCAGAAAGTATCTTTTCTCAAAAACCCCTCAACTTCGACATTTAATTAAATTGATCATCTTCCGTTTCGCAACCGTTACTTAAGCGAATTACGCTGCTAATGTTGCAAAAATTAATTAGCCCGTTTTATGGATCGTTCACTGCGACCTGTGCAACCACCTTACAAAGAAGCATTGCAGTGTTTTTCTTGTGCAAAATTTAATTATCTAGAGCCGGAGGCAGCAGCACACTTGTGCCGTACGGTGATTATTTGCTTATGTCAAGTTATTATTCTAATCGCACACTATAAAGCATTTATGTGATCTTAAGTGGTTTTGCAATTAAGAAAATAACGCAGATAAAAATCGACAAGGAACTAAGTACAGACCTAACTGTTCGAGGTTTTATGCGATTATAAACGACGAAAAAAATTCATTAGAGAGGTTAGCGTTTGTTACACATTTTCTGTTTGATTTTAATCTGGCGCGACACGAATCGGGGAATTCTAATTTTCGTCTTTTTGTTGCAGACTTTGCCATGGGCTGATTCGCAGTCGCCAGCGTGATTAAAGGTGAGTTTTACGACACGAAATCCCATTTTTAATTGATCGGAGTAAGTTTAATTACGTTACCAAAATGGTCGGATGTCTCTATCAATTCCTGAACAATTTTCAATTAATTTGTGGCAAGTCATCGTCCATTTTAACCCCTCGAACTGGTTCGCTGCTCTTCGACTAATTAACAAGTGCAAAACATTCTCCCGATCTCAGATATGTAAGAAGATAATCTCCGAACATGAGAATTATTCAAATTGCGAAAGCAAAAAACTGGAACTGTTAGAAATTCAAATTCTTTTTTCGACGCTTCGCGTCGATAGAAACCCACAAATTGCACGAGACATCCTTATCTCCAGCAATCAGGCCCACATATTTGGCGATTTTAATTACCCACCAATTAATTAATCGACAAAGCTGGTGTTTCCACACTATTCGTCGATTATGTCAACAAAATCGTCCGAATTTCACGAGCTCCTCCTATTGCGGAACTAGTTCGCGCGTTTTTTCGGTCGTTGCCCGATTTCGAATTTGGAACACATTAGGCATGCACAATTGCGCCAAAAATGCGACTTAATTGAATTTTGTCGAATGAAAACGCTTAGAAACCGCAAGATTAGAACAGCGGCAGGGGAGATCGGGACGAACTGGACACACACACATACACGACGTGATGTAATAATTCCCTAAATTATTGAGAGGAGATGTTCATAATTCAAGCAGAGGTAATGACCATCATCTCCCGAATTCGTTACAATGTCCAAACACGTAATATATTAACGTCAGCTTTAATCTTCGACATCACCGAGGTGTTATTACGGCCTATCGATACTTTGGACGTGTTTACGACACCTAACCTTCTTCGACGCTCGATTCCCGGAACGGTTGATGGACAGCGTTAATTAAATAGCGACGGTGGGAAGCGGTAGGCAGGAGATGAACAGAACAAAGGAGAAAATATGGGCGATTCGAAGAACCGCTTGTAAGGGTTAAATATGGCGCCTAATATAATAAGTCTCAAAAGATAGATCACTTGCCTCTATTAATATAAAATCAAAAAACAGAGAGTATTTTGAAAAAAAAAGTGTATGTAGATTTTTAGTCTTTTTTCTCAAAACTCAAAAAGTTTTTTAATATTGCATATTGCAGGACTTGCAATGTTTTTTTTTTAAGTACCTACTGTGGATGTAAATTTGCCAGTATTTCTTAATTTTTTAACACCTACTCGCTAGCCAAAAGTACTTTAGTCGGAAAAAAATTGGTCTAAAGAGTTTAGACAGTACTTCCCTGGCTGTCGGAAACTTGACGACTGCTTGCCTATTGTCTTTTTTTTCTCATTACATTTTTGTAGTGGGAATTTAAAAAAAAATTGCGATGACGTCATCAACATTTTTGCAAGGACACGTATATCAGTTGGGATAGATGTAGTGTAATACTAAGAATAAAATTATTATATTCTCAAATTTTCGGGAAAATGAATTGGGTCGTTTTGAATATTGATTTGTAATAATCAATAAAATAACGAAACAATTTACTCACGTATACGTATCAGAGGCAACTGAAAATCGTGTATGTATAAACATTCTTAATTTAAGATGACAGGCGTAGCAGCATACGTGAGAGTCAAACAGAGAAACTGTAAACAAAACGACCATCGGTTTTAATGCTTCGACTTCCGCTTATTATATAAAACATTGGGTTTTATTTTAATTCTTGACGGTGAAATTCACAATTGGTTGATTATAAACATGTCTATTTCACATTCGCGGAACCAAGTGAGCGCATAAAACAAATGCAGGTCTGTAATGTTAAATTCGATGTAAATAAGCGTGCTACCCTTATGTTTCAACCGAGTTTTTCCTTTAACAAATTTTGTGTCTACCAAATTGGGTTGGTTGGGGTGTAATACTAATAATAAGTGTTGCCTTTAATTTAATCAATAAAATAAATTGACTTCATTAATTTTTTTGAACCACCTCTTAAGAAAATCTAAAAAATTTGAATGGAATGATAAATCACAAGTACAAACTCATCATATTTTTTGCATTTTAGATAGGATTTATTCAGCAAAATTTAAGGGTGACGTCATCAATTTTTTTAGGAGGGATGAACAAATACATTTTGAACAAAAGTTTACCATGCTTATAATAACTTTAAAATATTCCCAAGATTTCAAAGCATTCGGTTTTCTAATTCCTGATTAAATCGATAAAATAAATTCACGCCTTCATTAATTTTTTTGAGTCACCCTGCATATGCAAATCCAAAAATATGAATGGAATGATAAATCACAAGTACAGACTCATCATATTTTGTACATTTTAGATACGATTTATTCGGCAAACTTTTGAGCTGACGTCATCAGTTTTTTGTAGAAGATAACCAAATATATTTTGACTAAAAATTTATTATGCTCTTTATAACCTTAAAACATCTGCAAGATTTCAAAGCATTCGGTTTTGTAGTTCCTGATTAAATCAATACAATAAATTTACACATTCATTAATTTTTTTGAGTCACCCTGTATATGCAAATCGAAAAAATTTGAATGGAATGATAAATCACAAGAAGAGACTCACCATATTTTGTACATTTTAGATAGGATTTTTTCAGCAAAATTTTGTGGTGACATCATAAATTTTTTAGGGGGGACGACCAAATACGTTTTGATCAAAAATTTACCATGCTTATGATAATTTTAAAATATCTTCAAGATTTCGAAGCATTCGGTTTTGTAGTTCCTGAGTAAATCAGTAAAATAAATTTACGCTTTCATTTATTTTCTTGAATCACCCTGTATATGCAAATCCAAAAAAATGAATGGAGTGATAAATGACAAGTATAGGCTCATCATATTTTGTACATTTTAGATATGATTTATTCGGCAAACTTTCGAGCTGACGTCATCAAGTTTTTGGAGGGGATAAGCAAATATATTTTGACTAAACATTTATTATGCTCTTTATGACCTTAAAACATCTGCAAGATTTCAGAGCATTCGGTTTTGTAGTTCCTGATTAAATCAATAAAATATATTTACGCATTCATTAATTTTTTTGAGTCACCCTGTGTATGCAAATCCAAAAAATATGAATGGAGTGATAGATCACAAGTACAGACTCATCATATTTTGTACATTTTAGATATGATTTATTCCACAAACTTTTGAGCTGACGTCATCAAGTTTTTGGAGGGGATAAGCAAATATTTTTTGACTAAAGATTTATGATGCTCTTTATAGCCTTAAAACGTCTGCAACATTTCAAAGCATTCTGGTTAGCAGATTAAAAATTAAATTTCAAAATGTTGTTTTATAATTTTGATTTTTTTTCCAAAAATCTGGACGTTTCGGGTGAAAAGTCGATTCAGAGTTGTAAACTACATGTGTAGGACTATGTTATTTTATACAATTGAAAACCCATTTACTATGTACAATTTTGAAGTGACGTCATCGCATTAGTGGTGGGGATGATTAGACAAATTTTGGTTAGCGTTTTACCGTCTACATGATATTCTTAATATAAGTACAAAATTTCACAACAATCGGTCGAGTACTTTCGGAGATTATCTGTCTAATAAAAATCCGGGACAACAGACGGACAGACGGACAGACGGACGGACAGACGGACGGACAGACGGACGGACAGACGGACGGACAGACGGACGGACAGACGGACGGACAGACGGACAGACGGACAGACAGACGGAAATGGGAGACCTATTTCTTCGTCTTCTAGGGGTCATGAAAGATCGAGAAAACGTAAAAATAGAGAGGTCGTTACCTTTATAGCGTTTTTAACACCGCATTCTATCTAAGATGTCATTACCACACAGAACAATGTCTTCAATAACAAGAAAACAAAACCTGACACAACCAGCATACCATGTGTTAAGAATCTTTTATGTTTTATCTATTTAATCTCGAAAAACTTCAGGCATTTTCATGGCCTATAATAAAAATATTTAGAATTTATTATCACACCGTTCTGAAGTTTTAGTATTTTGCACAAAAAAATTAAAAATTGTTCGGTGAAATTTCATGTTTTTAAACGCAGGGATTATTGTGGATTTTTCTTAAGAAAAATTCCCCACTCTAGAAAATCTGTATTTGTTGTCTACAAAAATTTTGAACACGAAGAATAATCGACGAACTTTTTTTCGTTGTATTTCACCCACCAAAATACAAATTCTTAATAAAAACAAAAAGCAAAAATACCAAATAAAAAAATCTGCGCATCTTGCTGACCATCAAGAGACGAAAATAAATTAGTTGCCCAACTATAAACTCGCTAATCACCATGATGCGGCTTAATCCCGCCGCCTCGCCTGCTAATGTAAACAGCTCGTAGTAAATCTCCCGGTGATTACACTGCAGAAGAACCTGCGCTATTGTGTGCACAATGTGCACAACGCGCTGAAAGAGTCATTAAATAGTAGTGACATTCAATACCTGTTATTAATTCGCCATCAACTTCAATATTTTCCCATTTGACCCATTGTGACGGTTACCATTCCAAGAATGTGCCATCAAGTGAGTCAATTGTTTTCTTTTCAACCCGCCTCGTCGCAAACGACTCGAGCACTTAAGTAATTATCTTCGCGAAGCGATTTGCCAAAGAAGTAGCCACAGGTGCTCCGGCTCAATATGGGCAAGAAATGTGGGCGTCCGCCGCAACTGGGGCACGTTTTTTAACCCTCGACCGCATAAAACCGGGACCGTTATTGCTCGTAGCCCCGTGTTCTTTATGGGCTCGAATGAGCCATCGGCCGATAAATCTGTCATAAATGTGGATATTACCTCCTAACCAATTAAAAATCATCCTGGAATTTATCTTCGCTCGTAAATAACTCATTACGAAATTTCGAAAACGATTTCTAGTTTGGTCGCGTTTATTAATTTATTGTCAATTTATTAAGCTTTTAATATATCAAATCGCAGCGGTGTTATATTTGATTTGGTACTTTCTAAAAAAAAATGATTGGTAAAAACGGCAAAAATTTCACGGGAACTAAACAAG